TGCTCTTCACTGTGAAGGTTACGACCCAATAACCTTCAACCCAAGACATTTATGACGCGGTGTGATGAGTCGAAAAGTCTAAACCGTAAACCAATCCGCCGCAACAGGTTCCATAAATCCACGATGCCGCAATTTTCCGACCAAAACTTCTCAGTAATTTTCATGATCAGTTGTTAATCCTAGTCAACCTCTTCTAGGGATGCGCCATGCAATCGTTGCCCATAAAGTTGCTCACAGGGGCTCAGTCTCTCTACAAGTTCATTGTAAACCCTCCCATAAGAGTCCAGTACAATTCTGCTGGCATCATGTGGATGCTTTAGGTAGCAATCGATCCAAGAGAGCAGTTCCATGCGATGCTAGCGGGAAAAGCGTCAATCAATTACTATTACAGTAACTTTGCAGCTCTTACAGTAAAGTATAGCATCTGCTATTATTATGGTATGTTGGTATGTGTAATAAAGTCGACAAGGGTGATCTTCATGACGGATGGTGTGGCGTCAAAAGGCGCACTATCGCATGCATGATCAAGGATCGAGTCTTCGCCTGAACCGACCAAGCCGCAAGGCGGTCAGTTGGAATCTCCTAGCATGAAATCGCTGGCTTGCACATCGGCTGCCAATCGCAAAGCATGGGTCTTATACGGGACAGAATAGGGTTTCATTCATAATGAAAGTCCGTCTGATGTCACTTTGAACCCATAAAACTGTCTAGTTATCATCAAAACAACTTGGACCGAGCGTAGAGGTGAAGAGGCAGTGTATTCAAAGGCGCGGTGTATTTCGATGCTTTAACAAGGCCCTCAGGCTTCTGCTTCGTTGACGATGAGCCTAATAAGTAATCGTTGACATTGTCTTTTATTGACGTTAGAAACACCTGAAAAATCGTAATGTATCTTAAGAAGTCCGACAATAGGCGTAGCGAAGACTCAGAGCCCCAAGGACGCGTGCCCAGTTGGGAGACTGGTTCGAGGTTGACCTAATAAGCGTACCAACAATAAATATTACAGAACAAACAACAAAGTACAATGGACCGATTCGAGGTTAACGACCGCAAAGCGTTCGGCTGCTTGATAGCCTACCATCTCCCAGTCAATTTTACAGGTTGACGTGAAAATTCAATAATACTAGTGGGGGACACTGTACCCACGTAATTTTCATCAACCAAGGTTCTTTACTGTCCGAATTTCTGTCTATACTACCATCTTGCCAGGGAGACTTGAATTCGAACTATTTAGGATACCTATGGATGAGTGTCAAGAACTTCATTACGTATCCCACTTTGCTGTGAACTCTGTTGAAAAAAATATTTTAGGAAGTTTAAATTGTTTTCTATTTGGGCCAGTTCCTAATTCATGAAATCTTCTTAGACAAATCTTGCTACAAGTGATCTTCCAAAAAAAGAAAACTCTTGTGACCGCTATCTGGATTCTATCATGAGCCAAAAAATCTTCGGAGTTGCAATATGAGAACAATTATATTTTTTAGTCCAAATTAACCCAGTTATATGAAAAGCATTAGACATGATTACTAGGTAGCCCTGCAGCTCATGACGTTAGGGGAACCTCTCGGAAACCATCTATAGGCTGGAACTCTTGAAAACCATCTATCGGCTGGAATTATTTACTCGAACCTGTAGATGACTGTGATGTTTCAGAAACAAGGAAGTTGAATATAGAAATAAAATGAACCTGTTAAAATTGTAAAGGTGTTCCGGTCCCGAAAAGATATTTAGTACGGGAATATGATTCGCGCCATGCATTTTACAAGCAGCCTCGTTTCGAGTGCTTTCGATTGAGGCTTTAAATTTCTGCAGTAGCTAAATGATAGCCGTTCAGTGAGAATGATTCACCCTAAATTGTTGTACTGGACTATTTATTGAAGAATGTAGCGACATTACCCTTGACCTAATTTCTGGATGCGCCATGCGTTTGATCCCAGTAAGCTGCTCAGAGCTTCGGGTAACAAGCTTGTCAAAGTGTCATGCACCTTCACGCGGTTCAAACTGATCAAAGGACCCATTACTACAGAAACGAACCTACTGGTTTTATAATTAGGTAGAACTGATTTCAAAAAAACCTAAGGACCTAATTTTACATTCATTTTTATTTACCTATATATTACAAGTGGTTCTTTACAACAATACGACAGCTAGCAATAATGTTCGACAAAATTCAAGAAGAAAAAAATGAAGATTAATCGAAATATCATAATAACTTCTGTGATGAGGGGAGGCATGAATTTCATGAGGGGGGAGGAGGAGAGTCGCTAGTGAGGGAAAAAGAGTAGCGGGCTGTCATTAGGGCAGGTCCCGCTGGACAGCATTTGGCTGTTCATAGTCCCCGTAGCTGAAACGGTCATCGCTTGGCGAACTGGGAGATGACAAGCCTAATCCCCAGTTTCAGTCTAGGTACTATGCAGTGTCGCCCGGTATCATTCGTTTTGGACTTTCTGAAAAGGAGAGTGATGAGGAGTATCAACCGTGAACATACGAGAACCGTTCAAAAGCCATTGAGATCAATGTAGATAGCAATTGACGATTGAGTCCACTCAAGTCGAAAAGAACCCTGTTGGGTCTAACCAGTGCTACCCTCATAATGAGGTCTCATAAAACTAAAAACTCACCATTACCTAAGCGAAATCATGAAAATACCAGAAATCTCAACTTCTGAGAACGACAGAGTAAAGATGAGGGCTTGATTGGGGAAAATCCATTATATAAATGAAAGCTAGTAAATTTTCAAACAGAAGGTCGGCCGACATTGAAAGGAACGGTTTGATGACTTTGACGGCGCCCATTCACAACGGCAATCCGTTACAAAACCACCGCGGTGGCGGCCTGGTTCTCGACCCCGTTCGCACAGCGAAATTATTTGATGGGCCGTACGCCATGAATTATATCAACGGCTCTAGCGGGTTTACCTCTTCACAACGCCATGGATGTCCCGAGAGTATAATTAGTTGCAAAACCACTCTCTTAGTCGCTCTTTGTTCCTAGTAAGGCACAGCAAATGGTATTTCGATTTTGTTCCGATTTTCGATTTCCGAAATGATATAGCACCGAGAAATCTCGAAATGATACAGCACCTAGAAATCTCGAGAGGGGGCCGCTCAAACAGTGTTGTCCCACTGTATTCGAAAGGAATCCACCACTACATGTCGATTTTAGCAGGAAAAGGCGGTGCTGACGGTTTAAAGACATAGGTCACGATTGAAACGGTTTCGGAAATTCCTAAATGGTAAAGATCTATGTATCCTGAGAAGGAGAATGCTCATTGTATTAGATCGAAGAGAGGCATAGAGGAGGACGCTGTGAAGGGGCCAATGAGGGCTGCAAAACCGTTCTCGACACCCACTCCCGAGAAAGGACGTGTTCAGCGGCTTCGTAGAGGCTAATATCATTCGGAATGGAGCGTGTTTGTTGTAATTGCAGTCAGCTGGTTAGTAGCTAACACATGCCGCTTTGTAGCGACTGAAACTCGTCCGAATAACTCCCTCATCGTCATAACCTCGTCCACATAGAGGCTCTTCATGCATACTGTCCCTAATATTTGCAAGCAGTAAGCAAAAAACTGTTGGTTCGGGCAGGCATAGTTAGATAGGCCTACACATAGGTGCCCAATTATACTGTTTACTATTTCGGGTGAAGCCGAATATTCTTGAGGTAGAGAGAAAAAACATGGACATGAGATCAGGTTTTGAACATGCTTAATTGAAAACAATCAAAATAAACAATCAAAATTCCAATCATAATTTATAATTTCATGCACATTCTTGAACTTTTACCTTTTTGTCCGTTTATTATTGAAGGGAAGTTATTTTAAATTCCTGCTATTTGCTAGTTTTGTTGAGATGGAAAACGCAAATAAAACGGCAAATCATACCTACCTATAGGCGCCTTATCTGGGGTATCTGGGCTAGAACCTGTCAAACCCAAGCACTACCAGGACCGCTGTAAATGCTCTTTTCTCTGACAAAGCTTCACCATGTTCTAGAAACGTTGAGGGAGGCAGCTATTTGAAAGTTTCAACCACCATTCCCAAATGAATCACCAAATCCTTCAAACATAACGTCGTCCCACCCTAACGTACATCAACACAACCGAAGCCACCTAGTTTTGAGCAAGCCTTCGTCTTTGCGCCAGCTTTTTTCCATTGAAAATTACCTACAGAGCGGATTCCCGAACTGAACTGAACCGACCGACGAAAAATTAGCAAACCGGTCACATTGAAGGACATCTGAAGACAGTAAATTTTCAGAGGGCTGTAATTGACGACATATGGTGCTGAGATGAGGCTAATAATATCGTCATTGCTCGTATGATGAAACTTCGACGAAAGAAAAACTGAACTTTACTGGGACTTCACTACTCGAAGGTAAATACCTGGGTTCTAAACATACATGGGGATAACTCAATTTAAACATTCGTGACCTGACTCACGTGTTTTTTATGCCAATATACCTCACTAATTGAACTACCTTAAGTGGGTAGTGGGTTCCACCAGATGGCATAAAAAAGACGCAAAGAGATATTCTTACTGGCTCCAGTTTCTGAAAGACCTGCACTCTTCCAGTAAGGAACCTCGATCTCTTAACTGCTCACCCCCCCCCCCCCCCCCCCCCCCCTCTCCCCCCTTTTTTCGACTTAGTCCAAGGTATTCACTTCATTTGTAAGGAAAAGGTTCTTTACTCGCCAGCATCTTCAATCCCAATTATCCGTCCACTATGTTGAACAACCTTTAGAACTTAGAGAAATTGTTGGCATATTTATTAAAAGTTCCTAATTCTTTGAACTAAATTTAACTAATAAAACTGTACAAAACAAGCGAAAAATACCCGTTACTATGAATAGACCAATGTAGAGTTCACCTCAGAAAGGCAGCTCTTCACCGTCACTATCGGTTTACTTGACTTCTAACAAATTCTACAAATTTTTCAGCTTAGTGAAAAAATACATATTGAACATTCAATGAGTCTGTGAAAGCAAGGATACCTATGAGGAGGTTAACCTCCTCTGAACGCGGCAAACAACAATGGTATTGCTACTCCTATAGCTGCATAGAGTGCCACCACCGAAAGCAGCGTTTGCAGTTTCATTTTCGACTCGAGCTTCTTTTCAGTTTGATCGAGTAGCCGCTCCATGTCGCTTCCAATATAGACCTGGAATTTTTAAAATATTGAATAAAATGGGATACGGGGAAACTTGTTATTCCTTTTGAATAAGATCAGCCTCACTGTCCTACTTAGGCTCAAAACGACTCCTAAGTAACGGTCCTCACAACAATGGGGTTTGTTGGGAGAAATTGAACAAGGTAGGTATATCCTTTGGATGAATAGAAGACAAACAGACAAATTGATGCAAAGCTTTTGTCTCCCACCATCAAACAGGAACGATGCGTGAAATTGACAAATTTTCAGGAATTCAGCGCGATGGGCCGATCTGACCTTCATAGAAAACTAAGCAAAACCTACCACAGCATTAGGATCGGCATTGAGGCTAGCTTCAAGACGAGCCAATCGCGTTAGTTCGGCCATTTGAGCAGAAAGACGAGCATTTTCTTCGCGAATGGCAGCTATGACCTGAATGTGGCACCGAATATGGGAATCTCTTTAAAGTACGTGAAAACTTTTTCGGAAATAAAAACTAAATGCTGTTCTACACGTTTGAGTCATCACCTTCTCATCACTGACATTTTCATATGAACCCTTCGAGGGTTCAATTTTGATACTATCCAGTCTCAAGAGGTCACGCATTTCCGTTATGAAGCTCGTTACCTACAAGAGGTAACGCTTTTGTTTATGAAGAAAAAGCCAAAAAGCAAAGAAAAACAGGGAACGCAAAGAAAATCAGGGAACCTTAGCATTTTGCTCTGCAACAAGCCGAGACATTTCACTCATTTTGGCACCACCAATGGGGAGCATCTCTCGTAAACGCCGCATTCTTACTTCATTACCTGAAGCACTTGGATTAGATATGATAAATCTCAGGAGTGCTGCGAAGCTAGCTATCAAAAAGTGAGCTGTTGGGCAGCTCACTGTTTTAAAATCGCACAACTATGAAAAGTAAAAGGAAGAAAGAGTAGTTACTTATTGTGGCTCCAATGATCCCTAATGTCGCGCCTATGAGTGAAGCACTCACTGACCACCATTTCGTTTTCTCAGTTTGCTCTCGTTCCCGTTCGTGAGAAGCACGAACTCTAGAAAAAAAAATCAGAGAGCTTTTACAAATTTCACGTAAGTCGTAAAACGACAAATGATGAATACAACAAATTCTAGAGCATGAACGAGAACAAACCGGTTCGATAACTGATGAAATGCCTCTCGCTCAGCGTTTTCCAAGCCTTCAAATTCTTCGAGTAATGTTCGTTCTTTTTTGATAGCAGCATGCTCTTCAGTCAACAGGTGGAGATATCTGAATGGACACAATCGATGGAAGCCGATTTGACATTAGAAAGCATGAATTGTTTGAAATACTGGACTTCAATTGAATTAAAAGCATTTGAAAATGTCTGCCCATGAATGAAAGCAAATGATCTTTTTGGGAAGGCATCCTATCGATTTTTAGCGAAGGGAAGAAACTTTCTAGATTTATGGTCCAGGAAATCTAGAAACTTTGATAGAAAGTGGAGGCTCAGTTATCTGCATGAGAAACACGAACTTTTCCCCCTTATGCCAAAGAAAGTATTAGGACGGGGACTCAACCTGAAGGGATCACTCATACTCCATTCTGCAGACAGTTCCAGCACCTTGGTTTCAAACTTTTGTCATTCATCACTAATATTTCAGATGAAAAACTCCGTCAAAAGCCTAAAGCTATCGAACTAAGCTTAAATGTAACTCGAAGTGAAACAACTGTGGAGGATTGGAAAAGGAAGGTGCCCAGTGGGAACCGACATTTTTCGAGTTGTGTCCTATCTAAGCCTGAGAAGTTTCCCGTCTAACAAAAAACATAAGATATGAAACTCTTGCAGAATCATTGCAAAATAAAAAAGGAAATTGCTACACTCCTTTAAAGCACCACCTGTCTTCGCCTCTGCTTGTTCGATCGAGTTCCGAATGAATTTCCTTAAGTCGAGACTGCAAACTTTTGATTTCTGCCTGCTTCTCCCTTCGTGCCACTTGGGCGAGACTGAGCTTCTCTTCCCACTTAAAGATTGAAAAATGTCAAAATATAACAGTGGAATGTCTCATGAAACGCACCGTCATAACTCCAGCTTGAGCCTCTTTGACGGCCTTAATGCCAATGAAATCCTCATATGCTTCCACCCATTGTTCAATTTTACGTCTAAACAACAACACTGGAAAGAATAAAATTTCTCAGAAATAATTTCACATGGCAAAAATTCAAAAATTAATTGAAATAACATATAAATGAAATAAGATAACGTCATAAAACAAACCTAAATCCTCCTGCATTTGTAGTGGGTGCAGCTACTGGAACAGATGACACACAGCGGCATAATCGAGGAAGAGCTAGGATGGCACTCGGGCCTCGAAACATCACCCTGGAAAATATTATCCAATAGTGGATATATACTTCACATCGGAACATGAATTAAGAACAAGAGCAGGCGGTCCCGACACGCTCGTTTTGCAGAAAAATGTAGAAACAGGATGGTGGGAGAAATCGTCATAGTATGCCAATCTGCCACCAAATTTTTACACAAGAAGAAATACTGAGAAATGGAACAATTCTGCCTTGAGGACACTTATTCCTCCAACAATCAATTATCGTCAAAAAAAAAAAACCAAGG